CCAACCCAGTCCTCTAATCTCTGTAAGAGGATCTCATGGTCGACAGTGTCAAAGGCAGCACTCAGATCTAACAAGATTAAGATTGAGACTTTGCCTGCGTCAGTGTTCACCCGGATATCGTTTGTAACCTTGACGAGAGCAGTCTCAGTGCTGTGGTGGGGTCTAAAGCCGGACTGAAACATATCAAATGAGTTGTTGATCATAAGAAATCTACTTAGCTGAGAAAGTTTCCTTGAGGGAAACTTTCTCAAGGACTTTCGCCATAAATGGCAGATTTGAGATGGGACGATAGTTGTTAAGTACCGTAGCATCGAGACTGCTCTTTTTTAGCAGGGGCCTGATGACTGCAGTTTTCAGGGTCTTTGGGAATATTCCAGAATGAAGGGACATGTTTACTATCTGTGTGAGTGAAGGTAACAGACTGCTCAGAACAGACTTCAGAAATCTAGTGGGTAGTACATCCAAGCTGCATGTGGAGGAGCTCAAACTGGAGATTATCTCTCGGACAGTTTTATCATTTACAGGTGCAAAGTGAGTTAGCTCAGAGAGCCTTTCTGGCTGTTGGATGGTTATCTGTGGATTGGAGACAATGGCGTTATTGATGCCTTGAACCTTGTCATTGAAAAAATTAGCAAACTCATTGCATTTACGTTTGGAAGTTAGCTCTAATGGCATCTGAACAGGGGGGTTTGTTAATCTAATAACTGTTGAGAACAGAACACGCAGATTGTTGCTGCAGCCTTCAATCATTTCAGAAAAATACCTTTCTCTCGTACTACGTAGCACCCCGTTAAACTCGCACAACTTATCTTTGAAGATCTCGTAATCAACCTGGGGGTTGGACTTGCGCCACTTCCGCTCGGCCCTCCGGCACTTTCTCTTCAGTGCTCTGACCGAGTCTGCTCGGTCCGCCTTCTGCTTATTTTTCACTATTTTAACCTTCACAGGGGCAACGGTATCCAGAACATTCAAAACACTAGAGGTGACAGAGTTAAACAGTTCATCTACAGTAGAATACGATGCATTCTCAAAGTTTATCATTCCCATAAATAGTTCACTCGTATTTTCATTTATGCGCCTTCTTCGAACAGTTGCAGAGTCCACTGGTGGTTTGTTAGTGAAACACATGTCAAAAAAAACACAGAAATGATCCGAAAGAGCAACATCGACCACGTTTACATTTGAAATATTCACCCCCTTAGTAACTAACAGATCTAGAGTGTGCCCTCTGCTGTGGGTGGGGCCACTTACATGCTGAGTGAGACCAAAGGATTCAAGAACAGAACTCAGTTCATTTGCATTTCTGTCATCAACATTATCCACATGAATATTAAAATCACCTGTAATAACCAAACTATCAAAATCTGTGCATACAACTGAAAGCAACTCGGTAAAATTATCAATAAAACTGTGACATGACTGCGGTGGCTTGTATAGGACAACGAAAAGTATTGGAGGAGATTGTTTTTGTTGTACTTTAAAAGACACATATTCAAATGACGAAAACTTCCCAAGAGACATTCTATGGGAGACAAAGTGGTCTCTAAAAATGGCAGCTAAGCCTCCTCCTATTTTGTTTTCCCGTATTTCAGATTCAAATTTGAAATTTGGTGGTGATGCTTCTATTAAAACTGCATTTCCTGAATTTTGGTCAAGCCAAGTTTCAGCCATGAACATAAGATCAAGATTATGAGAACAAATAAAATTATTTATTAAAAAAGACTTGTTACAAAGAGATCTGACATTTAGCATAGCAAGTTTCAAAGTTTCAGTATCAGCGGTTGTGGTCGGCTGATTCTTACACGGAACAAGAATTAGATTTTCCAGATTAGACTGATTAACTCCCGATGTTTTTCTGTTATGTATTCTTTGTGTTATCACTAAAGGTATGGCACAGGTGGCTTCATGACAGGGCCCTAACTAGACTGCCAGTGGCTGCGAAGCAGAGACCCTGTGCATCCTAGTGTTTAGAGAAAACACTAGGATGAGGCCTGAGGCTAGGAAACAGTGTTTACAGCCTCAGGCCTGGGTCTACAGCCTCAGTCCTGGATCTACAGCCTCAGTCCTGGGTCTACAGCCTCAGTCCTGGATCTACAGCCTCAGTCCTGGGTCTACAGCCTCAGTCCTGGATCTACAGCCTCAGTCCTGGATCTACAGCCTCAGTACTGGATCTACAGCCTCAGTCCTGGGTCTAAAGCCACAGTCCTGAAAAATGAGCATTGAGAGAAGCCTTTTAGGAGTCACATACAAAAACCAAACCAACAACTTTGATTGAGTGAGAGAGAGAAAAGAAGATTGTAAATCAGTTAAAACCTCCCAAACATCGATACGTGGCGTTTAAACACGTTATCTGCGGCTTTTTGCTGAGGACAAAGCCTTCTCTCAGAGCGCAGACAAGTTCAAATCTCGACAGACTCTTCAATATTACATTGTTAAAGCTCTCATCGGATCGCTTTTCCGCTGCGTGACCCAGACGACTGGAGGATATTGACAAAAAATGGCTTGAAACCGCTCTCAAATCTTCCAAAACATATTACAATTACCATGACTCCGGGCTCCGAGCAATCTCTCCCAACTCTAATTAATTAACTATCAGCCTCTGGGGCTGAGTTTTTGCAAAAAAACAGCGGAAAAGTCTCTAAAGCAGCGTGCCGGAGCTAGAGAGAGACAGAGAGAGAGAAAGGAGGTAGAGACGCCACTTTATGGACAGATCAATGAACGGAAATGACAGAAAGTCCTGTTTTCAGCTCAAATGACTCCCTCTCTAACTGTGTGAAAGTCTGAGGCTGCAGAACTGAGGTAAAGATAATATACTATACTTTCTTTGTAAGGACATGACAACATTATGACCTCTCTCTGGTCTCTCTTTAGTCTCTCTGGTCTCTCTCTGGTCTGTTTCTGGTCTCTCTCTCTGGTCTGTCTATGGTCTCTATCTGGTCTCTCTCTCAGGTCACTCTTTCTGGTTTATCTCTCCGGTTTCTCTCTCTGGCCTCTCTGGTCTCTCTCCAGTCTCTCACTCTGATCTTTCACTCTGCTCTCTCGCTCTGGTTTCTCTCTGGTCTCTCTCCCTCTGGTATCCTTCTGGTCTCTCTCTGGTCACTCTGGTATGTCTCTGTCTGTTATCTCGCTTTGGTCTCTCTCTGGTCTCGCGCTGGTCTCCCTCCCTCTAGTATCTCTCTGGTCTCTCTCTGGTCTCTTCCTGGTCTCTCTCTGGTCTCTCTCTGGTCTCTTCCTGGTCTCTCTCTGGTATCCCTCTGGTCTCTCTCTGGTCTCTCTCTGGTCTCTCTCTGATCTCTCTCTGGTCTCTCTCTGGTCTCTTCCTGGTCTCTCTCTGGTCTCTCTCTGGTCTCTTCCTGGTCTCTCTCTGGTATCCCTCTGGTCTCTCTCTGGTCTCTCTCTGGTCTCTCTCTGATCTCTCTCTGGTCTCTCTCTGGTCTCCCTCTGGTCTCTCTGCTCTCTCTCTGGTCTCTCTCTGGTCTCTCTCTGGTCTCTCTCTGGTCTCTCTCTGGTCTCTCTCTGGTCTCTCTCTGGTCTCTCTCTGGTCTCCCTCTGGTCTCTCTCTGGTCTCTCTCTGGTCTCTCTCTGGCCTCTCTCTGGTCTCCCTCTGGTCTCTCTCTGGTCTCCCTCTGGTCTCTCTCTGGTCTCTCTCTGTTCTCTCTCTGGTCTCTCTCTGGTCTCTCTCTGGTCTCTCTCTGGTCTCTCTCTGGTGCCTCATGTGCCACAGTCTGGAGCAGTCGACTGAAGCCGCAGAGAAAAGGTCACATTTCTGCAGAGTATTGTGCGTCTCAGTAATTACACAAAACACACAAACTAATCTTAAGTCCAGTAAGCCTTAGAATGCTTTTGCAGAGAGAGAGACCGGAGAGAGACCAGAGAGAGAGATCAGAAAGAGACCAAAGAGACACATGAGAGAGAGACCAGAGAGATTGGAGAGAGAGACCAGAAAGACAGAGGAGAGAGAGACCAAAGACATACATGAGAGAGAGACTAGGTAGACACATTAGAGATCAGAGAAAGAGACTGGAAAGCAAGACCAAAGAGAGATTGGAGAAAGAGAGATCAGAGAGACACAGCCGAGAGATACAGGAGAGAGAGAGCCCATACTTGATTTGTGCTCACAAAGAAGATAGACCAGAGAGAGAGACCGGAGAGGGATCAGAAAGAGACCAAAGAGAGAGAGCAAGATTAAAAAGAGGGACTAAAGAAAGTTTGTGGAGAAAGACCAGAGAGACACATGAGAGAGAGACCAGGGAGACACATGAGACAAAAGAGAGATTGGAGAGAGAGACCAGAAAGACACCACAGAGAGAGCTGAGAGAGACCAGAGAGAGACCAGAGAGACACATGAAAGAGAGACCAAAGAGAGATTTGAGAGAGACCAGAGAGACACAGGAGAGAGACCATTCTTATAATGTGCGCACAAAAAAGATATAAAACTTTGTGATGTTTTTCCTTTCATGTTGGTGGATTTCCTCGGGGAGAACAGATAAATCATCGTTAAACTAAGACTTTTCTGACTTTGGACTCTTCCCATCGCTTTCCTCCACCACACCGTGAAACTACAGCCTCTTTGGAACGCAGTGAAATCACACAAACACACTTTATCCTCACATTTCAAAGCCTTGCCGTTACCTGGCCGCACTGGTCGAGCCTCCAAACCCTGATCAAAACCACACGTTTCAGTCCCGTTGGGTCGGTTGCATTTCTGATTACCTCCGAACGCCTCACAATAGCCTGAGAACTTAGCAATCAGCTGCTCTCTCTCCTGTTCCGGCCTTTTCAAAGCCTCCCGTTCTCCGCAAGAACAAAACGCCAACACTCCTCGCTCCTCGCACTGATCCCGCTCTAAAGGCTGTCTGTATTACGCAGAGTTAGAAAGCTGGAAATCCTGCATGAGCTCCGGCTCCCTGCTGTGAATATCGCTCCGACAGAAAGTGGGGGATAAGGAAGCGGTAAACGCAGGAGGCGGAGGATCCAAGCGGGAACGGCGAGAAGAGGTGATGAAACCCAGTGTGTTGTGGCCGGCGTTTTGCTATTGGCTCATGTGAGGTCACTGGTAGAGTCTTGGAAAGGAGAGACCAGAGAGAGAGCGCGGAGAGAGATAAGAGAGAGAGAGACCAGAGAGAGAGACCGCAGAGAGAGACCAGAGAGAGAGACCGGAGAGAGAAACCCGAGAGAGAGAGAGACCAGAGAGAGAGACCAGAGAGAGAGAGACCAGAGAGAGAGACCGTAGAGAGAGACCGGAGAGAGAGACTGGAGAGAAAGACCAGAGAGAGACCGGAGAGAGGGACCGTAGAGCAGTGTCTCCCAAAGTGGGGTCTGCAATACCCACCAGGGGGCCGCGAGAGGTCCTCAAAAAAAAAAAAACTTTTTATATATTTATTGTATGTTAAATTAATAATATTTTGTTTGTAATATTAAAATATTTGTGATCATTATTTGACTTGAATCATCAAATTGTAATCATTTTTGTATTACAAAATGGGGTGCGTCATTTACATGTTTGTGGCAGAGGCATTTCCCCCAAATAAAATAATGAGAAGAGCCTTTTTTAAACGTTGTCTTCTTGGTTATTTTTTCGGGGGGCCGCACAGACACGTCAGATTTTTAAGGGGGAACGGATTTTTATGGGAACGGCTGCCATAGAGTCCAGAGGGAGGCCGGAGAGGAATCGGAGAGAGATCAGAGAGAGACCAGAGAGAGAGACTAGTGAGAGATCAGAGAGAGATCAGAGAGAGAGACTAGCGAGAGAGCCCATAGAGAGAGTCCAGATAGAGGCTGGAAAGAGAGGCCGGAGAGAGATAAGAAAGAGAATCCAAAGAACAGGGAGAGGGAAGGAACCGAGACTAGAGAGAGAATCTAGAGAGAGAGTCCGGATAGAGACCAGAGAAATGTCCCAAAGGTTCTCTTGCCCTGACTCAGGACTAAACATGGGAATGTAGGGTTTCAGATACATACAGCTAAACTCTGGAACAGTTTTCTTGAAAATATGAGACAGGCTTCTTCTATGACTAATATTCAAATCAAGGTTGGAATCAGTTGTTCATCTGTTCAACAACTGAGGGATTGTATCTTCAACCTTTTTAATGTATTTTGATGAATGAAATATGATGCTAATGCCTTGTGTGATTGTTTTGTAAGCAGTTTGAGTTGCCTTATTTATAGACTGTGCTATACAAAAAAACTAGCCTTATTCCAGACCAGATTTCCGGTTCATTCAAACTGTATTAATCGTAACACTTTACGTTCCATTAAAGTGTTACGAGCCGTTTACACTTACACACATTATTTTGTTGTTTGCGAAGGTCTTAGATAACTGCAGTCGTTGCGGTTTGCTAGCTTGCACTCCCTGTATTTCCCGCATGTTTAAATCATGAACTTAAAGTTTAAATCAGCACTTTTGGTCGCTCACCTGCTCCCGTGATGAAAAAGGTAGGTTTATTAAAAATATGCCTACTCATGTTTGCTCAGAAAGAGGCGCACGGAGCTGGAGAGGCAGGTGCAGCGTGGGCCGTCAGCACTTCTGCTTGTGCACGCAGCTCTTCATGGACTCACGGAGGACGAGGCTTTTCAGGAGCTAAAGCTGAATATCAAGAGCTGGATCCACGCAGGCCGTGGTCAGGGGAAACGTAGAGTATGTGCTCTTGCATCTGGATCAGTCGGAACACAATGTACAAAAGCTCTTCTCCTGGTTCTATCGACAAGCTTCAAGCAGCTGTGTCCTTCTGTTCTATTTTTATTGTCATATGAAACTACAGGCGCTGGTTTGGCCAGACGCAAAACTTTATGAAAAAAAAAAACGTTGTTCAGAATCATTGTAAAACCTGCCAGTCCTCCTGCTATTGTTTCGATACCGGTGATGTGTGTGTGGATGTGATCTAGGACCAGGAACTGCTGGAAAAATCATGCTTCCCATGTGTTTTGAGAGGGAGGCCCAAACATTAAGAAATTCCTCCTAAACAAGGCGCAGTCTCGCGTCATACGCGCGTATAACACTAAAGTAGTGTAAATATCTGTCCCAGAAATTTTTTTTTTGTAGTCTGAGGGACCCAGAGTTTCCCCGACCTTCTCAGTAGATTTACAGTATGTAGTAAATATTATCAGAGTGGATTCTCAACGTCTTTTATAATAATAATAATAATAATAATGCATTGGTTTTATATGGGGGTTTTCTGGACACTCAAAGACGCTTCACATGTGTCATTCTTTCACTCTAAACACGGTGGAGATAAACTACTACTGTAGCCACAGCTGCCCTGGGGCACACTGACAGAAGCGAGGCAACCAGTCTGTGCCATCGGCCCCTCCAACCACCACCAACCATTCACACACACACCAGACTCATTCTAGGCAATGGGGGTGAAGTGTCTTGCCTAAGGACCCAACGGCAGTTTACAGCCGCAGCCGCCCCACTGTGGCTGGTGTTCCCAGAGGTTTAGTGTCTTGCCAAGGACACAACAACAGCAGACAGTGGGAGTCGATGGGGAAAGTCTCGTGGTGGGCTTGAACCCACAACCTTCTGGCTCAAAGGCCAATACCAGCTGTGCTACTGTCGCCCTTTCCAATTTTTTATCGTCTCCAACTTCAGCTTAAAGTCACGAATCCCTCCATAAAAGAGTAGATTTTGTTCGTTTCAAACAAAAAAAGTAAAATGTTGTTACGAGGTTCAACTCAAATTGAATCAATACTTTTAGTCCATTACTTCTACTTGACTTGAAAATATGATGTCTTATTCAAGCTACATGTGCCCTTTAATGATACATTGACAACGAATACTACATAATTAACGTATTAATACAGTTCTATCAAAACACTTTACAATGAATTGGAGCTACGTCTGACCTAGCCTGGACTTCGCCGTCTATAAACTCTGGTCCACTCTGGTCCACAACTCTGGTACATGTACGTCTGGGTCTGATCCCAGTGGCTGCAGTTTCCTCGGGTGAATCCCCTCCGACCAATCAGAGAGCGGGGGAGGCGGGTGTTGTAGGTCGGTGTCAGTGACGTCAAGAGTTTGCACCGGATTTGCAGGTTGTAGTTTGCAAATGGTGGAGAACGCGAGAGTAAAGTAATCTACTCTGGTTTAGCTCCTAATATCAAGAGGAATGTTTAGTAAATGTCATTGCTGAAAAGATGTTGTGGCTCTACTCCCCACGGGCTATCGGGCTGGAAAGTCTCGTCCCAGAAGCACTTCCGGTTCATTGCTCGGATACAAACAAACCGTCAGCTGTTCGAAGAGGCGGTTTAATTGACTGGTGCAAAGTGCTCTGCTTTGTTTTCGTCTGTAAAAATCAAAGTGTACGCGACACATGCTCATTTTTTAAGTTTCCCAAAGACCAACTGAAGCTGTGGGAAAAGCTATGCAGTTCTGATAAAACATTTTGTCTGATTTTACAGACGGTTAACTTGGATATGTATTAAAGCTAACTTGTAGCTAATGCTAACCTGTAAATAGTGCACGGCCGAGACTTTCATTGTGGCTTGTTTTTTAAGATAAGATAAGATAGACTTTATGGATCTCACACAAGAGACATTTATTTATTTATTTGAGAGATCAAGGAGGAACAATGCATATTAAATAACACTTAACAAATGATCAAATATAACGGAAGAAAACGGACAATCATTAGTGTTAAATGAAGAAGTAACCCAACTACATCATGTTATGTTTGACAGCACAGCAAAAAGTCAAAAGGCCCAATGTGAGGCTGCAGTGAGTGTGAAGTGGAGATGGAGCTACTGAACAGATTAAACTGATCATTCATAAACATTGGCTCATAACCAAAGCAGCAAAGACAGCTGTAAGGGACAACATCCATTTATTTGCATGGGAATAGTGGTTCTGTGTTTTCTTTCTGATGCATAATAGTGGATTAAAAAAGAAAGAGTTTGAACACGGCCCTGCACCTTTCTCATCTCCCCGTCATAGAAACTTCAGGACACGGCCAGAGTTCACAGATAACTCTGACCGCCCACTCAGTTTTTTTGTCCCAGAGACGTGTCCAAAACAACACTGAACAACAATCTCTGCACCATACAACTGGCACGTGTGGTTTGTTTGTATCCGCGGGTGGAGATCTCGCAAAATCTTGCACTTCTGCTTTCCAGCCCTTTAACGCCTCCCACTTGTTCACGGAGGTCAATGGAGCAAATCCAGACCTTAGTGCAAAATGAAAATAGTCCGATGGTATGGTAAGACGGACCCATACTGTTTTAAAGGGGTCTGAAGTGAGCTGATGATGCCTGCGGAAAAACAACTGGACCCCTGCCGCTAGCATAGCACAGTTAGCTTCCCCGGCGATTACACACAGAAAACATTCACAAACGGTCGGCACTAGATCATATACGGAATCGGGACAAAACCGGAAGTAACAATTCAAATTTTGAATTAGTTTTAGACTAAAAAGTCCTTAAGTGGTGACTGGTTAAGTTTTAGGCGTCTGAGTAAGATGGTTAAGGTTAGGGTTAAGGGCGGGTTGGGGTTATTTTATGGGAATGGCTGGTTAAGTTTAGGCATTAATAGGTAGTTTGATGTATTTACTTCCGGTTCCGTCCCGATTCCGTATACGATCTAGTGCTGACCATTCACAAACCCCTGTCAAAGTGGCACACAACATGGCGCCTTGCTATAATCTAACACCACAGGTAGAACCAAGCTTTTATGTGTTTCTAACCAATTACTGACCTGTAAACTAAAGGTTGAGTCTCAGATAAAATAAACGCTGAAGCACGGTTTCAGATCCAGATTGTGTGTGAGGGGTCACGGTCAATGCTGCCCTCCGTTACAACGGAGAATGACAACAGTTCCGCCTTCTGTTAATTTCCTTTACTCGCAGATTTTACACAGGACAACATCTAATAACAATACTGTAGTTTCTTCTCTTAGACACACACATGCACACACACTCGGCCACTACTCTTCACTTTTGTATCTCTGTGAACATGAGGTGAGTTGAGAGAACATGTTTTTATGTGGCTCCGGTGTGTGTGTGTGTGTGTGTGTGTGTGTGTGTGTGTGTGTGTGTGTGTGAGTATGCATGCGTGTATCTGTCTGTGTGGGTGTATGTATATACGTGTGTGTGTATAGTATCTGTGTGTGTCTACAAGTGTGTCTGTGTATACACGTGTGTAAGTGTGAGAATGTGTGTGCCTGTGTGTGTGAGCATGTGTGTCTGTGTCTAAATGCGTGTCTGTGTATATACGTGTCTCTGTGTGTGTGAGCATGTGTGTGTGTGTGTGTGCATGCGTGTCTCTGTGTGTATGCGTGTCTGTGTGTGTGTATATATGTGTGTCTCTGTGTGTGTGAGTGTGTGTGTATATATGTGTGTGTCTGTGTCTATATGCATGTGTGTGTGTGTGCACTTGTTTTCAACTCCTGGTGGGTTCCATAACCTGAGATTCCACTCACGTCATGGGGACTGGTTTTACGTGGTGGGGCCCGAACACCGGACCCCACTGGTCCAAGCTTAATAATCAATGGGTAATGCTTTTCTAACGGTCCTTATGCAGTCTCTGTAAAAATATGGAAAGGACCCCTGGAGGTTTACTTTCCTGAAAAAAGTGTGTTATGTGTCGGAACCCTGGTGGTGGGTTGCGGGATATCAAGGAGGGGCACACTGGGGCAATTTCAGTCCAGCAGGCTGGAGCCAATCATGGAGCAGCACAACAGAGGAAATCAGGTGTCAGGCTAGAAAAAGGTGCAAGTGTGTGGTTCATTAGGCTGCAAGAAATCATGGAGGAGCACACTGAAGCGCACGCTTACAAACCACTGGTAAGTGCTGACTACAAGTCATGACTTCAAATTGTTATATAGAATGATTACAAATTATTTGTTGTTTGTGCAGCTTAGTCAAGAGTCCCTAATTGATGAAGTCGACTCAGATTCTGACGATTTAACTGTCAAGAAGAAACCTGTAAAAAAGTATGGAAAAAGAAAAATCAAAAACACTTTTCTTCAAGACTCGGAAAGTGACGAACCAAAGGCAAATAAGATTGTTATCATGCAGCTGCAAAAGAAGAAAAATGGGGGGCGAGTATACAGCAAGAGACACTTCTGCCTCTACTGTTCAATGTCCTGCCACAAAATGTCCCGTCATTTGACTAGAAAACATGGAAATGAAAGTGACGTAGCCAGAGCATTGGCTCTACCTGTGAAATCTAAAGCACGTAAACTTCAGTTTGATTTGATCAGGAATAGTGGAAACCGTGAGCACAATTTTGAGGTTTTAAAGGCCGGCATTGGAACTTTAGTCCCAGCTAAACAGCCAAATTGCCCAGTTAAATCCAGTGAGTTTTTGCACTGTATAGACTGTGGGGCATTGCTTAAGCGAAAGTCGCTGTGGAGGCATGTGGCCAGGTGCCGGCTTTCACAGAAAGATGCCCAGGCTAAACCAGGTAGAAGTAGGGTCCAGTCCCTCTGCTCCCTAGCCCAGCCTGTACCGGAGGGCATCAGCAAAAAGCTGTGGTCTTTAATTTCGGCAATGCATCAGGATGAGGTCACGGGTGTTGTCAAAGCAGAAAAGGGGATTCTGAGACTCGGAGAGCACCTGTACTTAAAACACGGGCATGATAAGACTAAGCATGATTACATTAGGCAGAAAATGAGAGAAGTCGGTAGGTTAATTAACGAAGCAAAAACCGCAGGGAAACTGAAAACAATTAAGGATTTCTTTATTCCTTCCAACTTTAACCATGTGATTGATGCAGTCAGGTCTGTGGCTGGATATGATGAGGAAACAAATCAATACAAGACTCCATCCTTGGCCCTCAAACTCGGCCATAGCCTCAGAAAGCTAGCAGATATTCTTGAATGTGACTCAAAAATGGAGCATTGTGTTGATGAACTATTTATTAAAAACCTCCAACGAAGCCGGCTGCTTTTTGAGAAGAGGTGGGACGTCTGTGTTTCTTCTGCTGCCCTACAGACCCTCCGGCAAGCCAAGTGGAACACTCCGGACCTGCTCCCTCTGACTGAGGACGTTAGAGCCATGCATGCACATATTGAGGTATGTCGACCTGAATATGTGCAAACCCTAATAAGTGAGCCAACGTCTAAGCATTGGTCTAAACTGGCAGTTTTGACTCTTTGTGAGGTCATCATTTTCAATCGAAGAAGGGAAGGTGAGGTTTCAAAGATGCCACTGACAGCCTTTACCTTAAGAAGTAAGACTGGGATCCATTCTGACATTGCTCTGGGACTGTCCCAACTTGAGAAAAAGCTGTGTCAGCATTTTCAACGCATTGAAATTAAAGGGAAAAGAAGTCGGAAAGTGCCGGTTCTTTTGACTCCTGAAATGATTGCTTCGATGGAGGTGCTGGTGGAGAACAGAAGGGCCTGTTCCATCTCTGACCATAACCCATACTTCTTTTCCCGCCCGGGGCAGACACCCACATCAGGGGATCAGACTCCCTACGCCAGGTAGCCAAAGAATGTGGTGCGGTGCATCCAGAGATGCTATCCTCAACCAAACTTAGAAAGCACATAGCTACTATGTCTACAGTTCTCAATATGAAAGAGAATGAGATGGACATACTTGCCAACTTCCTCGGCCATGACATTCGCATCCACAGGCAATATTACAGACTACCAGAGGGGACACTGGAGCTGGCCAAAATCAGCAAAGTGTTGATGGCCATGGAGCAGGGAAGAGTGACGGAATTCGAAGGAAAGAGCCTCGACCAGATACAAATTGAGCCTGAAGGTAATTCTTGATATTATTAAAATATGTATGATTTTTTTCCCCTAAAGGCCACTTGTATTTTTATTTTCTGTGCGACAGGGAGAGCAGTAGAGATCCTCTCACAAACGGACGGGCTAAAAGAAACTTCAAGCGGAGAACCTTCAACCATTCATCCAGATGCACCCCATGGTAGTGGCAGTGCCCCTTCTGGTAAGTGTACCAGGTGGGGGATTACAGCCAGGCTGCTTGGTCCTCACCCTGGGAGTGTATATTGCTAATATATTTTTATTTCTCTCCCTAGAACGTGTAAGAAAGCCATGGTCTGCATCTGAGGTGAAGGCTGTGGAGAAGACCATGACACCTTTCATACAGACTGGAAAGGTCCCTGGGAAGTCTCACTGCCTGGCCTGCATTAATGCCTCACCAGATGACCTTAGACATCGGACATGGAGTGGCATTAAATTCTATGTCAAAAATAGAATCACTGCAATTCGAAAACAAAATCTAAAATAAAATTCCTTTAAAATAGTTGTTTGGTTTCTATTGACTGTTTTGTATTACTTAAAGTCTTGGTAAAAAAAGATTATGTCTATGGGTCCCATTCTGAACGGCCCTGTCAAAGGGACCCACCAGGTAACAAAAACGTGTATGTGTGTGTGTGTGTGTGTGCATGCGTGTCTGTGTGTGTATGTATACGTTTGCGTCTACATGCGTGTGTGTGTGTGTGAATATGTGTGTGTCTGTGTGTATACGTGTGTGTCTGCATATGTGTATGTGTGAATATGTGTGTGTGTGTTTGTGTGTGTGTATACGTGTGTGTCTGCATATGTGTATGTGTGTCAATGTGTGTGTCTGTGTGTATACTGTACGTGTGTGTCTGCATATGTGTATGTGTGAATATGTGTGTGTGTGTGTGTCTGTGTATACGTGAGTGTCTGCATGTGTGTATGTGTAAATATGTGTGTGTGTGTGTGTGTGCGTGTCTGTGAATATACGTGAGTGTCTGCATGTGTGTATGTGTAAATATGTGTGTGTGTGTGTGTGTGTCTGTGTGTTTACGTGTGTCTCTGCATATGTGTATGTGTGAATATGTGTGTGTGTGTGTGTGTGTGTGTGTGTCTGTGTGTTTACGTGTGTGTCTGCATATGTGTATGTGTGAATATGTGTATGTGTGAATGTGTGTGTGTGTGTGTGTGTGTGTGTGTGTGTGTGTGTGTGTGTGTGTGTGTGTGTGTCTGTGTATACCTGTGTGTTTGCTAGAGTGGTGTAGTCCCTTGTTTGTCCAGAGCAGATCTTTTTGCTGAACCAGTTTAAAAAGTCTTGGATAAAACATGTTTTTCCCTCGACGACGACCAAAACAGGATGAATAATGGATGTGACGCTCAGGTCTGAGGACGGACTCTTCACGTCACAATCCAACACCCAAACACTGCTGACTTTTCCATTTCATTAGTTCCATTTGAAAAAGGTGCCACTTTGTTTTCTGTCACACCAGCAAACATTCAATTCCACTCACAAGTTTAAGAAGCAACTATTACGTTAAACTCTTTTCTCTTTACAGACTAATAAACCAGGAGAACATACACACAGGCGTCCACATAAGTCCTCCCTGTGGCTCAGTCGCACAATAACAAGTAGGTCTGGGCAAGAAAACCATAATGATAGACATGTGTTCGATATCAATAGAAAATCGGGTCAAGAGCATGTTCGATAATTTCACTTAACTTTGTGAGAAAAAAAAGGAAGAAAAGCCGGGCCAGAAGATCCACGTACGTGCGAGGAATTGCATGTGCGCCACAGTGGGTACGGTAACTCGATGCATGCGGAGAGAGCATCAAGAGATTCACTTTTTTTCTCTGGAAGCACGTGCAACAATCAGAGAGCGGCAAAGTGGTCACGGGGACACGAGCGAGAAGACAGAAGACACTCAAACGAGGAGCTAAACCAGGACTAAACAGGATTTAAAACCTTAATCCATTTCTGGGTGGGGGGAGGTGGCAGTCAGAGCTATACCCAGAACACAGAGCACCAGCCCCTCACTGATCCTCCTGCAGGTGGTGAGTCCACAGGAGCCTTGAATATTCAGCGGGGGCTTCAGGCAAAAGTGGGGTTATATTAAGTGTCTTGCCCAACAACAGGAGACTTCAGTGGGAGTCGTGAAGTAGGTCTTAGGGTGGGCTCGAACCCATGACCTTCAGGCTCTAAGGCCAATGCTCTACCAACTGGATTTAAACCAGGACTGACAAAGGGGACAGTGTGCTTCTGAACACATGCTCCAGCCTGAGTTCTCGTTCCCCTGTGACTGTAAACAAGTGCTGCCAACGTGATACCCGACTAAAAAAACTAATCAATAATAATTTTGACCGATATGAAACACTTATATTGTGATATAGTTTTCAGCCATATCGCCCAGCCCTATGTTAAAGTTATGATTCTGTGTGACATCATGAGGAGTAGTGAGTCCTGAATCTACAGCCTGTCCAACCCTGGGAGCAGATCCCTTCTTCCATGTGGGCTCTCCCTTCTCACTTTCCTCCCACTGGGTTTTTAGAGTTTTTCATTGCAGACGCAGGAGGCTCGAAGAATGGTGGTGATCACAACACGACTGCGACGATCTGAGAGAGACCAGAGAGAGAGACCAGAGGGAGACAAGAGAGAGAGAGACATGAGAGAGAGCAGAGAGAGACCAGAGAGAGAGAAGAGAGAGACAAGAGGGAGAGCAGAGAGAGAGAAGAGAGAGACATGAGAGAGAGCAGAGAGAGACATGAGAGAGAGTAGAGAGAGACCAGAGGGAGACATGAGAGAGAGCAGAGAGAGACCAGAGGGAGACATGAGAGAGAGCGGAGAGAGACCGAGAGAGAGAAGAGAGAGACAGAGAGAGCAGAGAGAGACAAGAGAGAGAGAGACATGAGAGAGAGCAGAGAGAGACCAGAGAGAGACCAGAGGGAGACATGAGAGAGAGCAGAGAGAGACCGAGAGAGAGAAGAGAGAGACAAGAGAGAGAGCACAGAGAGAGAAGAGAGAGACAAGAGAGAGACAAGAGCGAGACAAGTGAGAGACAAGAGAGAGAGACTAGTGAGAGAGAGCAGAGAGAGAGAGTCCCTTGACTAAAATGGTTTGGAAGATTACCCCAAACCAAGCAGGGGTACAGCAGACTCCAGAGAGAGAGAGAGAGAGAGAGAGAGAGCAGAGTGAGAGAACACTTTATAATCCTAAAGTTTGAGATTTTATTTTATTTTAGAATAGCAATATTGTTCCCTCATGCTGTGTGCTCTTCATTCCTAATGTTCTGAAGCTGGTGATGCAACACTGACATTTCCCCGCAGTCAGACGAACACATATCAGACGTACAGTAAGTGGTAGTGGTCTTCATCATAAACCCCACACACATGAACTATTTAAGCCCAGGCAGCGGAACTTTAACACATGACCGCGGCTGATCTGTAACCTTGTCCAGACTCACCTTCAACTCCTCCAGCTCCTGCTCTCTCTCCCTCACTCTCTCCCTCACTCTCTCCCTCACTCTCTCCCTCACTCTCTCCCTCCTCACTCTCCCTCCACTCTCTCCCCCTCCACTCTCTTCCCCCCTCCACTCTCTTCCTCCACTCTCTCCCCCTCCACTCTCTTCCTCCTCACTCTCTTCCTCCTAACTCTCTCCCTCCATTCTCTCCCTCCACTCTCTCCCTCCATTCTCTCCCTCCACTCTCTCCCTCCACTCTCTCCCCCCTCACTCTCTCCCTCACTCTCTCCCTCCTCACTCCCCCTCCACTCTCTTCCTCCTAACTCTCTCCCTCCATTCTCTCCCTCCTCATTCTCTCCCTCCTCACTTTCTCTCCCTCCACTCTCTCCCTCCTCACTCTCTCCCTCCTCACTCTCTCCCTTCACTCTCTCCCTCCACTCTCTCTCCCTCCACTCTCTCTTCCTCCACTCTCTCCCCTCTCACTCTCTCCCTCCTCACTCTCCCTCCACTCTCTCCCCCTCCACTCTCTCCCTCCACTCTCTCCCCCTCCACTCTCTTCCTCCTCCACTCTCTCTCCTCCTAACTCTCTCCCTCCATCTCTCTCCCTCCACTCTCTCCCTCCATTCTCTCCCTCCACTCTCTCCCTCCTCATTCTCTCCCTCCTCACTTTCTCTCCCTCCATTCTCTCCCTCCACTCTCTCCCTCCTCACTCTCTCCCTCCTCACTCTCCCTTCACTCTCTCCCTCCTCACTCTCTCCCTCCTCACTCTCCCTCCACTCTCTCCCTCCACTCTCCCTCTCCCTCCTCCCTCTCCCCCTCTCTCCCTCCACTCTCTCTCCCTCCTCACTCTCCCTTCACTCTCTCCCTCCTCACTCTCTCCCTCCTCACTCTCCCTCACTCTCTCCCTCCTCACTCTCTCCCTCCTCACTCTCTCCCTCCACTCTCTCCCTCCACTCTCTCCCTCCACTCTCTCCCCCTCCACTCTCTCCCTCACTCTCTCCCTCCACTCTCTCTCCCTCCACTCTCTCCCCCTCCACTCTCTCCCTCCACTCTCTCCCTCCACTCTCTCCCCCTCCTCCACTCTCCCCCTCCTCCACTCTCTCCCTCCTCACTCTCCCTTCACTCTCTCCCTCCTCACTCTCTCCCTCCTCACTCTCTCCCTCCACTCTCTCCCTCCACTCTCTCCCTCCACTCTCTCTCCCCTCCACTCTCTCCCTTCACTCTCTCCCTCCACTCTCTCTCCCTCCACTCTCTCCCTTCACTCTCCCCCTCCACTCTCTCCCTTCACTCTCTCCCTCCACTCTCTCCCTCCACTCTCTCCCCTCCTCCACTCTCCCCCTCCTCCACTCTCCCCCTCCTCCACTCTCTCCCTCCTCACTCTCCCTTCACTCTCTCCCTCCTCACTCTCTCCCTCCTCACTCTCTCCCTCCACTCTCTCCCTCCACTCTCTCCCTCCACTCTCTCCCCCTCCACTCTCTCCCTTCACTCTCTCCCTCCACTCTCTCCCTCCACTCTCTCCCCCTCCACTCTCTCCCTCCACTCTCTCCCTCCACTCTCTCCCTCCACTCTCTCCCTCCACTCTCTCCGCCTCCTCCACTCTCTCCCTCCACCTCCCCCTCCTCCACTCTCTCCCCCTCCACTCTCTCTCCCTCCACTCTCTCCCTCCACTCTCCGCCTCCTCCACTCTCTCCCCCTCCACTCTCCGCCTCCTCCACTCTCTCTCCCTCCACTCTCTCCCTCCACTCTCCGCCTCCTCCACTCTCTCCCCCTCCACTCTCCGCCTCCTCCACTCTCTCCCCCTCCACTCTCCGCCTCCTCCACTCTCCGCCTCCTCCACTCTCTCCCTCCACTCTCCTCCCTCCACTCTCCTCCCCTCCTCCACTCTCCCCCTCCTCCACTCTCTCCCTCCTCACTCTCCTTCACTCTCTCCTCACTCTCTCCCCCCTCTCTCTCCCTCCACTCTCTCCCCCTCCACTCTCTCCCTCCTCCACTCCTCCTCCACTCTCCCCCTCCTCCACTCTCCCCCCCTCCACTCTCTCCTCTCCCACTCTCCCTTCACTCTCTCCCTCCACTCTCTCCCCCTCCACTCTCTCTCCCTCCCCTCTCCCTCCACTCTCCGCCTCCTCCACTCTCCGCCTCCTCCACTCTCTCCCTCCACTCTCTCCCTCCACTCTCTCCCCCTCCTCCACTCTCCCCCTCCTCCACTCTCTCCCTCCTCACTCTCCCTTCACTCTCTCCCTCCACTCTCCCCCCTCCACTCTCTCCCTCCACTCTCTCCCCCCTCCTCCACTCTCTCCCTCCACTCTCTCCCCCTCCACTCTCTCCCTTCACTCTCTCCCTCCACTCTCTCCCTCCACTCTCTCCCCCTCCACTCTCTCCCTCCACTCTCTCCCTCCACTCTCTCCCTCCACTCTCTCCCTCCACTCTCTCCCCCACTCTCCGCCTCCTCCACTCTCTCCCTCCACTCTCCCCCTCCTCCACTCTCTCCCCCTCCACTCTCTCTCCCTCCACTCTCTCCCTCCACTCTCCGCCTCCTCCACTCTCTCCCCCTCCACTCTCCGCCTCCTCCACTCTCTCTCCCTCCACTCTCTCCCTCCACTCTCCGCCTCCTCCACTCTCTCCCCCTCCACTCTCCGCCTCCTCCACTCTCTCCCCCTCCACTCTCCGCCTCCTCCACTCTCCGCCTCCTCCACTCTCTCCCTCCACTCTCTCCCTCCACTCTCCCCCTCCTCCACTCTCCCCCTCCTCCACTCTCTCCCTCCTCACTCTCCCTTCACTCTCTCCCTCCACTCTCTCCCCCTCCACTCTCTCCCTCCACTCTCTCCCTCCTCCACTCTCTCCCTCCACTCTCCCCCCCCTCCTCCACTCTCCCCCCTCCTCCACTCTCCCCCTCCTCCACTCTCCCCCCTCCTCCACTCTCTCTCCCTCCTCACTCTCCCTTCACTCTCTCCCTCCACTCTCTCCCCCTCCACTCTCTCCCTCCACTCTCTCCCCCTCCACTCTCCGCCTCCTCCACTCTCCGCCTCCTCCACTCTCTCCCTCCACTCTCTCCCTCCACTCTCCCCCTCCTCCTCCACTCTCCCCCTCCTCCACTCTCTCCCTCCTCACTCTCCCTTCACTCTCTCCCTCCACTCTCTCCCCCTCCACTCTCTCCCTCCACTCTCTCCCTCCTCCACTCTCTCCCTCCCTCCACTCTCCCCCTCCTCCACTCTCCCCCTCCTCCACTCTCCCCCTCCTCCACTCTCTCCCTCCTCACTCTCCCTTCACTCTCTCCCCCTCCACTCTCCCCCTCCACTCTCCGCCTCCTCCACTCTCTCCCTCCACTCTCTCCCTCCACTCTCTCCCTCCACTCTCCCCCTCCTCCACTCTCCCCCTCCTCCACTCTCCCCCTCCTCCACTCTCTCCCCCTCCACTCTCCGCCTCCTCCACTCTCTCCCTCCTCCACTCTCTCCCTCCACTCTCTCCCTCCTCACTTTCTCTCCCTCCATTCTCTCCCTCCACTCTCTCCCTCCTCACTCTCTCCCCTCCACTCTCTCCCTCCACTCTCCCCCTCCTCCACTCTCTCCCCCTCCACTCTCCGCCTCCTCCACTCTCTCCCCCTCCACTCTCCGCCTCCTCCACTCTCCCCCTCCTCCACTCTCTCCCTCCACTCTCTCCCTCCATTCTCTCCCTCCACTCTCTCCCTCCACTCTCTCCCTCCTCACTCTCTCCCTCCACTCTCTCTCCTCTCACTCTCTCCCTCCTCACTCTCCCTCCACTCTCTCCCCCTCCACTCTCTCCCCCTCCACTCTCTCCCTCCACTCTCTCCCCCTCCACTCTCTTCCTCCTCACTCTCTTCCTCCTAACTCTCTCCCTCCATTCTCTCCCTCCACTCTCTCCCTCCACTCTCTCCCTCCACTCTCTCCCTCCTCATTCTCTCCCTCCTCACTTTCTCTCCCTCCATTCTCTCCCTCCACTCTCTCCCTCCTCACTCTCTCCCTCCTCACTCTCCCTTCACTCTCTCCCTCCTCACTCTCTCCCTCCTCACTCTCCCTCACTCCCTCCCTCCACTCTCTCCCCCTCCACTCTCTCCCTCCACTCTCTCCCTCCACTCTCTCCCTCCACTCTCCGCCTCCTCCACTCTCTCCCTCCACTCTCCCCCTCCTCCACTCTCTCCCCCTCCACTCTCTCTCCCTCCACTCTCTCCTCCCCCACTCTCCGCCTCCTCCACTCTCTCCCCCTCCACTCTCCGCCTCCTCCACTCTCTCTCCCTCCACTCTCTCCCTCCACTCTCCGCCTCCTCCACTCTCTCCCCCTCCACTCTCCGCCTCCTCCACTCTCTCCCCCTCCACTCTCCGCCTCCTCCACTCTCCGCCTCCTCCACTCTCTCCCTCCACTCTCTCCCTCCACTCTCCCCCTCCTCCACTCTCTCCCTCCTCACTCTCCCTTCACTCTCTCCCTCCACTCTCTCCCTCCACTCTCTCCCTCCACTCTCTCCCTCCTCCACTCTCTCCCTCCACTCTCTCCCTCCACTCTCTCCCCCTCCACTCTCTCCCTCCACTCTCTCCCTCCACTCTCTCCCTCCACTCTCCGCCTCCTCCACTCTCTCCCTCCACTCTCCCCCTCCTCCACTCTCTCCCCCTCCACTCTCTCTCCCTCCACTCTCTCCCTCCACTCTCCGCCTCCTCCACTCTCTCCCCCTCCACTCTCCGCCTCCTCCACTCTCTCTCCCTCCACTCTCTCCCTCCACTCTCCGCCTCCTCCACTCTCTCCCCCTCCACTCTCCGCCTCCTCCACTCTCTCCCCCTCCACTCTCCGCCTCCTCCACTCTCCGCCTCCTCCACTCTCTCCCTCCACTCTCTCCCTCCACTCTCCCCCTCCTCCACTCTCCCCCTCCTCCACTCTCTCCCTCCTCACTCTCCCTTCACTCTCTCCCTCCACTCTCTCCCTCCAGTCTCTCCCTCCACTCTCTCCCTCCACTCTCTCCCTCCTCCACTCTCTCCCTCTACTCTCTCCCCCTCCACTCTCTCCCTCCACACTCTCCCTCCACTCTCTCCCTCCACTCTCCGCCTCCTCCACTCTCTCCCCCTCCACTCTCCGCCTCCTCCACTCTCTCTTCCCACGAGTGTTAAAATATGTAATAAGTCTGTAATTATAAAAGTCATGGAGTCTCAATATTTGCAGTCCCTATGGTTTGTCCTCTGAAGTCACAGCGTCAGTGAAGCCAATATCCTATATCCTACTTTTGAATAGTTTTAAACAAAAGAAAAAGTTTTGTCCGAACGTTGAGTGAGTTTGTGACAACATTGCTTTCTTCAGGGAGTGAACATTAAAGGGTTAAACCAAACAAAAACCTGGACTCAAGTTGAAACACGTTGGTGCGTATTTTAAATTACAGCCATGAGAAAACAAAGGCTTTTTAAACTCTCTAAACTATTGACCACGGGTGCCTTGGACTTTTATGATTTTCTAAGATCTTCATAATTAGATTTTACCTGAAAAGTCAAAACTCAATTTTTTGTTACTAAAGACCTGGACTCACCTTGAACTCCTCCAGCGACGCGTAGACTTTCCCTCTGAACTCACAGTAGTTCTTCTTCTCCTTGCACTGCGGACAGCACTGGCTCGTGTCCACCCTGATGCACCGCGGATGGACCCTCGGACACTCTGGCTGGGAGCACATGGGCCCCTCGTCCGTGCATAAGCAGGGGCACGTCGACGGCCCGGGCGTGAATTCCTCCCCGATCGAAAAAACAAACCCATTCTCGTCCATGCACCCCTTCCCTCGATAGTCCGGGTATGCGTACTCGTCGATAGATTCCAGCGAGACTGTGACGTCGCTCGTCGGGCCTTCGTCGATTTGGTTTATCGTGTCCTGCTCGCGGAACATTTCTTGCGATTTCACGCCACTTTTGGTCCGGTTCCGGTTCGCCGCGGTCCGGTTTGAGGTCTGTGGCGCGTTGACGTCGGCCTTCTGCGCGGGTTGCTGCTCAAGTTTGTCCATCTTGGCTTGGGTCAGGGCCTTCTCCAGGCGCTCGCGGCTGGCCGGGAGCGTCACGATGGGGTTGCACATGAGGACTCCCAGGAGGAAGAGGAGTTGGGTGGTCATCTCAAGCGGGGGAGGCATGGAGGACCGCGACGGGCCGCCCTCCTCACGCCCCCTGCTGAGGCTTCACATTACACGCTTCAGATCTGCCTCCGGTGTGAGCCAGTCCATCTGTGGAGGAGAGGGAGGAGGGGAAAGTTATAATGGAGTTGTGTCATAAGGAAGCAGAAGGCGATAAATCGTTAGACGTGTCATCAATATCAATAGAAAATGGGGGCGATTAGAATGATTTACACGACTTTTTCCATTCATTTTCTTCCCCGTTGTCCATTTCAATGTCGGGGCAATCAGCTTTCACCCAGTCCACAGAGCACCAGCCCCTCATGGATCCTCCTGCAGGAGGTGAGTCCACAGGAGGCTGTTGTCGGTGACAACAGCCTTGATCTTTTCAGGTTAAGTGTCTTGCCCAGGGACTCAACAACAGCAGATATCAGTGGGAGTCGGTAGAGAAGGTCTCATTCATGGGGGGATCGAACCCACAACCTTCAGCTCAAAGGCTGATGCTCAACCCACTGTTGTCCGTTTAAATCTCTTATTTAAAATCACAGTATTTCAATTCAGTCACTTGTTTGTTTTATTGGTTTAAAAATCAGATTATAATAATTATCAATATGTAAATTTTAAATCATAAATGAGCACATACAACTCTGCACACTAGATTATATTGCGCTTTTACACACAGTTTCCACTTTTGCTTCATTTCTGGAATCATTCATTTCTGGCATCTTTGGAAAATTAACTAAAAAACCAACAAACACATTTACATAGTCACCAGTTGTCAGAGTCATCAAAAATAACTGTAATTTGCCGGTTCCCACTGCTTCTGCCAGTGCTCCTGCGGCTGGAGAACGCTGTGGCTGATTCAGGTTCAAAGGCGACTGTAGTCATTTGGATTTCGGAGCCACACTGAGCGACGCAGGCAGGAATTAAAACCACAAGCAATTTCGTCTTGATTGTAATTGGGAATAAGCGTTTTGTTTTTTTGACCTGCAGGTGAGAAACTCGCTGTGGGCTATGAATTTGTGAAAATGGGAAAACACTTCAGGGACACAAAACAAAAGAATGCCACTTAGACAATTGATTATAAAATATATGCCAATTATGATCGGACGTGGCGGTGTTGCTTTCTATGATGGGTCAGACCACCGTTAAATTAGTAAATCCATAAACACAGAACTGCAGACGCCAAAGAGCCTATAGCTTCTTTCTCCTTCTGTGTTCTTATTACTGCAACATTGACGTTTTACCACTGTGGGACGGATAAAGGTTCTCTCATTTTGTTGAGGTGGAGGAGAACTCAACCTTTTTCCTTGGTGACTGTGGTAAGTGTTTAAAGTCAGATCGTAATCTTTAACCCTATTCGCACGAGATTAGTATTACCTGTGGACCTTAATAGTGAAGAACGTCTGAGGTGTTAGCCCGTGCAAACTCCACATGTCTGTAATTTGTAAACTCATAATTTTGGCGCAATTTACCTCCTGAATTTGTCCAAACCCAGACGTCCTGTAATAATACTCATCTTGGCCAAATCTGCATGACCTTCTCTTTACTACTAAACTTTCTGCGTTGTCAGTATCTTGGGCCTTTTCATATCTCTTCCCAGATCGAACCACGGAGGCTGCCGTGCAAATGTTGATTTGCAGTTTTGAAGCTTACTAGAAGCAAACTATAAAACGACTCGTGCACATCAAAGGAGCAGCGGGTGACGAAAGTCTCTCTGCGCAGAGGAGAGCTGCGTTTTGCGGCTGTGTACACAGCTGCAGAGTCGCAGCTGCTGCTTTCCCTGTGAGCTCTATGGAGAAGTGTAGAGGACAGTACAGGCCCGAGAACCTTTGAATAGTAATATTCACGTGTTTTTGTTTGTCCTCACGGTCTCTGTGGCTGCTGTGGTCAGACCTAATTTACCTGAATTTGCCTCCATCCAAAGTGGGTCCCAGTATTGACCCTTGCGGTTCCTCACAGGTCAGTGAAACTAAGGCCCCGTCCACAAGTAGCCGGTTATCTGCTAAACCGGAGATATTTTTTTTCGTTTGCACCTTTCATCCATGACAACGCATCATAAACGAATATATTTTAAAATCTCCGGGCAAAGTGAAGATTTTTGAAAAGTCTGTTTATGCTTTTACGTGGAGATAGCGATAACCGGAGTTTTGTTTTAGGACGTCAGAATATGCAACAAAACAACAACAAATAAACGAAGCATGGATCATCTGCCGTGAAAGCTGTGGTTCCAGCGCCGACATGCAGCGAACATCCTCGCTCCACATCAGAGAGCAGCAAAGTGATCACAGGGACTCACGCTCGAAAACAACCAAAACAGGATTAAACCAGGATTAAACCAGGGCTGAGGACGGGGTCAGTGCTTGAACATATGTCTTCATCCTGAGTTTCTACTGTGACTGCAAATAAGTGCTACCACAGAAGTACCAGCGTTAGCATCAAAGCTCCGCCCACTTCTGTGTTTTTCCCCACCGCAGTGTGATTGAAAATGCAGATGGTCAGTCATGTAAGTGGATATAAAATATTTTATAAACAAAGGGGGGGGGGGGGGGATATCGTCCCACAGTGGAGAAATGTCAGTGTTGCATCAGCAGTTACAGAAGAGCAGGAATGAGGAGCACAAGAAACATGAGCAATAACTGAAACATGAGAAAAAAGCAAGTTTAACATGTCTTGGATTAAAACTTTCATATCTCGGGATAATTTGTGCTCTAAGTAAATGTCGTTTTAGTAATTGCAGCCTTTGCGATTTGCTAATTGTAGACTGTGAGGTAATTTCTTGCCGGTCTTTTATTCCCACAAAACTGCAAATTACGTCTCATTGTTGAGATGGAGCTGGAGTCAGAACTAGATTACTCATTATCTCTTCATTCTAGCTCAGGGACCAGAGAGAGAGAGACCAGAGAGAGAGACCAGAGAGAGACACCAGAGAGAGACCAGAGAGAGAGACCAGAGAGAGAGACCAGAGAGACACAAGAGACAGACACCAGAGAGAGAAACCAGAGAGAGACCAGAGAGAGAGACCAGAGAGACACCAGAGAGAGAGACCAGAGAGACACCAGAGTGAGAGACCAGAGAGAGAACAGAAAGACACCAGAGAGAGAGACCAGAGAGAGAGACCAGAGAGAGAGACCAGAGAGAGACCAGAGAGAGACCAGAGAGAGACCAGAGAGAGAGACCAGAGAGAGAGAGACCAGAGAGAGAGACCAGAGAGAGACACCAGAGAGAGAGAGACCAGAGAGAGAGACCAAAGAGAGACCAGAGAGAGAGAGACTAGAGAGAGACACCAGAGAGAGACCAGAAAGAGACCAGAGAGAAACCAGAGAGAGACACCAGAGAGAGACCAGAGAGAGAGACCAGAGAGAGACACCAGAAAGAGACCAGAGAGAGACCAGAGAGAGACACCAGAGAGAGAGAGACCAGAGAGACACACCAGAGAGAGACCAGAGAGAGAGACACCAGAGAGAGAGACCAGAGAGAGAGAACAGAGAGAGAGACCAGAGAGACACCAGAGAAAGACACCAGAGAGAGAGACACCAGAGAGAGAGACCAGAGAGAGAGAACAGAGAGAGAGACCAGAGAGACACCAGAGAGAGACACCAGAGAGAGACCAGAGAGAGAGACTAGAGAGAGACACCAGAGAGAGACCAGAGAGAGACCAGAGAGAAACCAGAGAGAGACACCAGAGAGAGACCAGAGAGAGACCAGAGAGAAACCAGAGAGAGACACCAGAGAGAGACCAGAGAGAGAGACCAGAGAGAGACACCAGAAAGAGACCAGAGAGAGACCAGAGAGAGACACCAGAGAGAGAGAGACCAGAGAGACACACCAGAGAGAGACCAGAGAGAGAGACACCAGAGAGAGAGACCAGAGAGAGAGAACAGAGAGAGAGACCAGAGAGACACCAGAGAAAGACACCAGAGAGAGAGACACCAGAGAGCGAGACCAGAGAGAGAGAACAGAGAGAGAGACCAGAGAGACACCAGAGAGAGACCAGAGAGAGACCAGAGAAAGACACCAGAGAGAGACCAGAACGAGACACCAGAGGAAGACACCAGAGAGACACCATAGAGAGACCAGAGAGACACAAGAGAGAGATGAGAGAGACACCAGAGAAAGACACCAGAGAGACACCATCGAGAGACACCAGAGAGAGACGAGAGAGACACCAGAGGGACACCATAGAGAGACCATTTCTTGCCTTTTGCAAAACTGCAAATTGTGTCTCATTGTGAAGGTGAAGCTGAAGTCTAAACAGGATTAATCATTTACTCTTTGCTTTTGTTTAGTCCAGTGTTCTGCCTCTGGAGATTTTGTTTTTTGTTTTTTTCTCTTTCCCACAATGAAGTCTCTGAGCCAGCTGTGATCTACCCTCTTACCCTCCTGCCGAACATCCACCACGGAAGCTCGAGTTTGGGATTCTTGCCGAACATACATCTGTGAGAGAAAAATACAACAGGGAAGAGCTTGTTTTTTTTCTCTGCAAAACAAGATGTGGTTTTGACAAAAGCAAATAGGAAAGTGTCTCTTCTACAGTTCCGTCTGGAGCTACAGAATATATTTGAGCTTTGTGAGGCGCAGAAGCAAAGCAGACCAGTCCACAGACTTTCTCACTACAAAAAACCTTTCAATGCTTTGTGTTGCATTTGATTACTTTATGAGGAAGGCCACGAGACTGAGATTCTTTATATGTTTTAAAGTTGCGACATGGACCGGATTGTTCCAAACCCAGGCAGAAATGACACAAGCCCTGTTTCCACCGGCCCTACTTGGCCCTACTCTACTCTACTCTACTCTTCTGTACTCTACTGTCCTGTACTCTACTCTATCTGGTTACGTTTCCATTATGCTTCAGGAACTGGTATCAGAGACCAGAGTGAGACCAGAGAGAGGGACCAGGGAGAGGGACAAGAGAGAGAGACCAGAGAGAGATAAGGGAGAGACTAGAGAAAGATCAGAGAGAGACCAGAGATAGACAAGAGGGAGACAAGGGAGCAACAAGAGAGACCAGAGAGAGAGAG